CGTCCGGGCCCCTGATAGGCTCGACAGGCTGCCTCAGCCAAGGGGCCGGTCCCTTTGGTGGGATTGTGGCGCGCGTTTCGAAACCCCTTCCCGCCAGCAGCGTGCATCTGCTGCTCTCATCATCGCGCACGTACCACCACCAACTGACTTGCGGCGGGGCACCAGATGGCAGTCCACCACCGATCGACGCTCAATGCTGCGTTGCTTTACCCCATTGCGTTTGGGATTCGAGAGGGCAGTCAGAGCGAGCCGCCATGGTACACGCCATGCCTCCCAGATATTGCCGCAGAGCGACGCGCTAGTTCAGCCCAGCCCTCCCCAGAAGCCGTCTTGCCGTCCAGCAAATTAGCTGAAACATTTCGTCTCAAGGCTCTTGGGCCGCGTTCCTCGTCGCCTATCCTGAAACGGCAGGCAGGCAAGTCGGCGTCACCTAAATGCCGCTACGTACACGCAAGTTCTCGACTTACTGCGATGGGACACTGCTCTCAACTTCACCCCAGCCACTTCCACTCATAATCGACGCTGTGATGGGGGGCTGTAACTGCATATGCAATAAGCTCACATAACAGACAAGTAGGACTGGATGCTATTAATACTCCTGTCCTCGATGTTTGGTGCTGCATTCTTTTCGGGAATATGCAGTGACAGCCTGTTCGTTTCCAACAGAGCGATGTGCAAAAGTGGGAGCCCGTCAGTATTGTGAAACAAGCTGAGAATTCTATTCATGTGAAGGAATGGTGTGCCATGGCACGATTGGCATCCCACCTGACCTCCATGTCATACCCCAAGCCTAATTTCTTGCCCCTCTGTCTATGTTTGGACCAACTGAGGAAAGGATCCGGAAGCTTCCCTTCTTGGGAGCATGTAGAACGTAATACTCCGTGCGACAAACCCCAACTTTAAACCCGTCTCTCTGAACTTGTTGATGCATCGCTGGTTCTTCAGGCACTAACACTCTCTTCCCTCTTATCTCCTCATTAGCCTAGTCTTTTTGGTGGGTATTTGAAGGTGGAGCCTGCTTCGTTCGTTGGCGCTTCCAATAAATTAATTTACCTGCACTGATGAATGGAGTTCATTGATGGATGCAAGGCAAATAGTGTGGGAAGCTATTCATAGCTATCAACCTCCAACTCTCACCGAGATCCATCACCGAGATTTTCAATACATCTTCAGTAGTGTAGATGGCTCCAACACTGGCTAGCTGGCCAAACGCACGAGTGACATGTTTGTGTAACCTTGGCTAGATATCATAATTGCTTTTTCTCCCCTGGCCTGTCAACCCCTTAGTTCCAACAAGCTGTTCGCCTCACTCCGCCTTCATCTAGCCGCTGTCATGATCATCCATCAGGCTGGAACCGCGGGGTCCAAGGCAATCATCCGCACCGCTCCACTTCGCAACGGTTTGCAGAGGCAAAACAGCTTCCAGGCGAACGACGGGCATCAACAAGCACAATCTCATCTTCGCACTGTTTGCGGATGACGTAGCTGAACCGAGCTCGCCTTCCAAGACGTTTCGTGAATAGTTACTCCCAAGAATCTTCACCCCTATACTGGCATCGAAGCAGGCTTGCCAACAGTGGAGAAAGATGGATAGTGACGAGTCCGACTTCTATGGTACGCATATCTCCCCTCTAGGGTACGTTCATAAAGTTGCTAACAGCTTTCCCAGGGGAAGATGATGGCATCGTTCCTGAGCTCGAAGAGCGTATTGCTCGATTCGACGTCGACGAATGGGCCGAAGGCTACCGCCTGAACCCAGCCCGTCCGCGCAAATCCGCAACCCGCGTCGCGGGAGGCGGTTCCCATCTGCACAACCCGTACGCAGGCGTCCCCTATGCATGGCAACTTACCGAAACCCTGGATGACTTCCTTGCCCGCCTGCCCCCCGCGACGACGTCACAGGCAGACGTGCCCTGGATCTACATCTGCAACCCGTATCTTCCCGGCGTTCCGAAGGCCGAGAGCGACGGGGTCCAGCACAAGGGCGAGGGCAACGGGGACGAAGGGCCGATCCAGAGGGAAAGCGACATCCGGCTCGTAGTTGAGGCCGGCATGGAACGGCTTCAGCTGGCCAGGTCGTTTCTGGAAGAGTTGTCAAGTATGAACAAGAGCAAGGCGGTTGTCGAGAGGGAGGCTACCAAGGCACGGCAGCATGCTGTCTCGGACATCTTGGAACTAGCCCATGCCGCCAAGGTCCGGGCAGGCAAGGTATGAAAACTAAACTTCCACCATAAGGTATTCCCTAGTGGTGAACTCGTAAGCTTCAACTGACACAATTGTTCTCTAGTGGATGATATTCTGCACGACCCAAGAGGTAGATGAGGTGTGGGAAATCGTGGCCAGAGCGACTGCCGCTAATCAACTGGGTATCGCTGCAAAGGTAGCCCCGAAGCCAGTCGAGGAGATAATACGAAAGGACCGTCTCATCTGCGTGTACACGTCGGACTTCAAAGACAAGGCCGATGTCGGTCGGGTGTTGAAGAAGCTACGTGAGCTCAAGCTTGTCGAGGCCAAGGGGCGGGCTGTATACTACAAGCCCGGTATGTTCTATTCCACACCAATCAGATGAATCTCAAGAGATGCTAACGCGGTCCAAGATGCATTTACCTATATCGGTATTGGGTATGGCAACCCCTGGGGCATCAAGGCTTCTCTCTACAGTTCGTGGGACAAGTTCCCCAATTAGGCAACACCTCCTTGGCTTCAACAGACGAATAAGCCGGGTTGTTTATTTTGGTATTGGGAGTTTAGCGACGGATATTTAGCAGGCCATACAACGGATCTTTCTTTCATCAGTCCACACCTGGTGTGTATTCACGAGTGCAACGCAGGATTTCATGGTAATGTTGATGCGAAGGGAATCGGAATAAGAGACCGTGCCGGGCTACCGCCTCAGTAGAAAGTCGACAATCGTTTCAGGTCTGGGGGGTGCTATCCAACTACGGCCTCCTGCCAGCCATATGTAGTCAAAGAGAACAATTTACTGTGACAGTCCAGTAAACCACTTGGCTGGATATGAGATAGTCAACTGAAAGGGGAGAGGAAAGTAAATACTTCGTGAGATTGACGAGTAGGAGTTGCCGCCCCAGGTAGGAATGTGTGTCATCAAAACACAGCGTAAAAAATTTGATAATATGGTGGCTGTGTATTCAGGATTGGCTGGTTGAGCGGTTGTTTGGAAGTTATAACTTAGTCTTATGAGCTCTTAATTGCAAGTCATTATACACTTTGAAGAATCAAAGGATCTTCGTTTGCCTCAGTTTAACGGTCATGCCAGCAGTTCAACTGCTCAAGCGTATGACACTGTCTGCCATCATTGGCAATAGCCCGTTGCAACCTCGAACAACACCCACTCGGCTTCGGCTGGCCCCCCAACAAGTAATCAAAGGATCTCGTCTGCCTCAGTTTAACGGTCATGCCAGCAGTTCAACTGCTCAAGCGTATGACGCTGTCTGTCATCATTGGCAAATTTTATGTTACGAATTTTTGTGTACAAATCTCGAACAACACCCACTCGACTTCAGCTGACCCCCCAACAATTAATCAAAGGATCTCGTTTGCCTCAGTTTAACGGTCATGCCAGCAGTTCAACTGCTCAATCGTATGACGCTGTCTGTCATCATTGGCAATAACCCTAAAGTGGGTGTTGATGAGGAAAAAACCATTTCTGACTTTCATGATGATATGTGGTTAGACAGTTCCTAAAGGTGCTTTTTAGTGTACAAATCTCAGGAGCATGGGCTCACTTTATAGATTTCAGAGCTGCGGCGCGTCGGCTTTTGTGTACAAGAGATCATGACAAATAAAGTTACTGTGACTCATAGACGTAAAAAAAAAAAAAAAAAAAAAAAAAAAAAAAAAAAAAAAAAAAAAGAACTCTATATATTAAGGTATGTTTAGTATGACGCTTGGGTGTTTTGTTGTTAACCACGACAGCTAAAGCGGGCTCTCACGATCCCTCTATCCAAGCTGCCTAGCTGTTAACCGGGATAGCCCGTAGTTGCTCTCATAATATATCTGTCTGGGCCTTGGTGAAGATCTTCTTTGGCCTGAGGGTACCATATTGGAAATCGGGGACTTCGTGGTCGGGCATTTTGTTGGGGGAAGAAGAAGGGGAAATGTAAGGATGCGTGTGATGAGGCGCGATATGTTAGAGTTCTTTGCAGGGCAAGCTACGAGGGAAAGCGAATACGATATGTAGACATTGGCAAAGAGCTGTGGTCGGTGTGTGGCTCGATCGGTCGGGACTGGCTTTCGTGGCTGCTGACATGGCCACATCATGAACCCTATTTTGAAGGTTTCGGCGTTAATCATGGTGTTGTTATTACAATGAAACTTTCTCCTACAGATGTGCACTGACACTGAAGGCTGAAGCGCAGTATATTGTTCTACGGTAGTTCTCGTATCTTAGTAGTGTAAATTTGCCTTTTCATGGATTGCATGGAGGCTTCTTAAGTAATAGCTGAAGCCTTGGCAGCCTTGTTCAACTGTGTGCTCGGTAGTATGTCAAAGGCCCAGTACATCCAACAACTACGCAATTAAATTGATGATCATGCCACCCTACCTCCAAGCCGTAAGCCATTTTTACCGAAAGGTCGCATATGAACAAAGACTGGTCGACACCCTGTGCCCAGGGGCTGAGTCGTTTATTCAGGCGGCCTCGCCCAATCTGTTGATCAAACGGATACTTTATTCCTTCAACCAATCAAGGCATCAGCCACAAGTGAGCGAAGGCTTCTGATTCATGCAGTCATCATTGGTGATGTCAGTTCACCAACTGGCATTGCAGCTGAGAATTGCAGATGGCTTGGCTGCATCACGAGCTCCTATTCCCCCGCCCCATATGCATCTCCTTGCCCATTATAATTTCCTATCGGGAAATTCATTAAATACGGGACTTTGCATGAAGAGATCTTGCCATTCAATCTCTATAATGATAACAACTTATTCAATGATCAATTAATACATTCTTAGTAGGCAGGTCCAGCCCACGTATACAAATGGCATCTGAAGAAACATCAGCTGTGGCAAAGCCAGCCTATGTCTCCCAGGTCTCGGGCTTTTGCGCCTCTGTGTGGACGTCTGCTGCAAACCTGGCCGCCTCCGCCAAACGAGAGGTCGGGGAAACGATCGAGGATATCAAATTCAGTCCTGGCGAGGTAGCCAACCAAACAAACAACGACGTGCTCGATGCGTCTCGCAAGTTACGTGGCCAACCGGGTTTGTGCACCAGGTGCGAGTCGTTCCCATCCGGGGGATTCAGATCTGCCACCACAGAGTGCCTTACCTGGACCACGCCTCTTTCAAGAATCCTCTACCATTCCGACTGGTGCCAAATGTGCCGTTTTCTTCTCGACATGCTCTGTCGTCCAGACAACGATCCGCTCAAGCATCCCGAAGTCGCTCCCCACGTTCAAGATAATATGCGAGGCATGTCCATGTCGGAATGGTCAGAGCAGGGTTGGAAGTATACGGATGCCAACTGGCCCTTTGGTAGAGGCGAGCTTCGCGCTGAAGGTGCTACGTATCGACTTGGCCATGCGAACGAGCAATTACCCGTCCTGGCTCCTGCCATGGCTCGCCAATTGGTAGCTGAACTATCATCATCAAGATCAACCAAGCCAAAGCCGAAACCACGGAGTGATTGGAAACTTATCGAGGAGGGAAGGAAATCGTTGACGCGCCATCCGAACGCTTGCGATCTAGTCCTGAACATGATTACGAGCCAGGACCAGAACAACGCCGGCATCATATTTGCAACTCTGTTTGGTTCTGGAAACCGTCCCGGGGGGGCAGTCCAGAGCTTGAGTTGCTTTCGCCTGAGAATCGCACACCCCAACCTGCAGAGCCTGCCTGGGGCCACAAACGAGCTATGGTATGGAAATGTTCTGGATAAAGATTGGATTGATATAGCAATCGGAAAACGCTGGATCCAGGAGTGTCTGGAAAGGCATTGTGAGAAGTGCAGTCGTCCAGGTTGGAGTGCGGCTATGCAGAAGTTGGACTTCCTCCGGGTGATAGACGTTGAGAGAATGTGCTTGGTTGAGATTGAAAACCCAGGAACCTGCCGGCTCATTGCTCTATCCTACATGTGGGGAGGTGATCAGAAATGTAAATTGGAGGGGAGCCATCTCCAAGCATGGTCTCAACCTGGGGGGCTATCTACGATAGCCAATACTTTGCCTCTTACCATTCGGGATTCGATCGAGGTCGTCAAACGCCTAGGCGAACGATATTTGTGGGTTGATTCACTGGTATGTCCTCTCTCAATGGCCCCTACATGTCTATCACCATTCTGACATATCTAGTGCATACAACAAGATGGGGGCGACGAGAAGGGCCGTCAAATTGCTGCGATGGATCGTATCTATGGCACAGCCCTTCTGACCATCGTCGCTGCATCTGGAGATAACGCCAACGCGGGGCTTCGAGGTATCAATACAACGGATCCGGACACCTCTGACTCAAAGTCGAGTCATCCCCGAGGTCTAAGCTAGCCATCCGTCAAGCTAAATCAAGATGAAGCTTATATCATTGCGCCCTTCGAGAGCACTCAGGACATATCGAAATTAGCTTGGTCATCTCGGGGCTGGACTTTCCAAGAGAAGGCTCTCTCGCGCCGGCTGCTGATATTCTGCGGTGAAGAGGTAACGTGGCACTGCAGGGAGATGATCTGCCGAGAGGACATGGTGAATGTTGATGCTGAAAATCGAAGCAAGCCTTTGGAATGGCTCCGGCTAACCCCTCAGCACTTCCAACTCTTTGAGGGGCCAGATCCGTTTTGGATGGATGGGAGCACTGTTCGAGACAAGAATGCGAAGACCCATCTTGTGCGATCCAGCGCGATGGGTGAGTATGCGAGAGTAGTCGAGGAATACTCGAGTCGCCAATTAACTGACAAAAAAGATGTCATTTTCGCCTTGCAGGGGCTATTGAACATCCTCTCCGGAGCCATGCTGACAGAGTTCCGGTATGGGCTTCCGGAGAACCTATTCGATGTTTCAGTGCTATGGGCGCCCAGGGGAATCCTGAAACGTCGAAACCCGTTCCCAAGTTGGTCATGGGCAGGGTGGGAGGGCACTATGGGATACGAAAGCTGTCTCTCTGTCAATAGAGATACCGATGGAAGAGCGATTAGTGCAAAAAATGCTGAGCTAGGAGAGGAAGGTATCCGGCCCTTGATATACTGGTATGCCCTGGACGCATCTAAACGTGGTTTCCGCCGTCTGAATACCGTTCTGGGAACCTTGCCGGAGATACCTCGAGAATGGGAGGGGAGGCCTTACGGCTTTCCCCAGTCCACTCAGCTCGAAACAGAGATTGTGGATGAATTGAGCGGAGTAAACATTGATAGGCACCACTTGGTATTCCGGACGAGTTGTGCCAACTGCAAGTTACGGTTGGGCAAGACCACTGATGGATCCTATGAATTGACTGCCCATGTCCTAGGGCCTAGAGACACTGGGGGGCCTCTCTATGCTGATATCAAAGACTCCGGGCATCAAAGAGTTGGCCACATCGTTCTGGATACAGAGCCTCCAGCCGGAGGTCAAGAGACCGTCTTGGTCGTCATCGCAGAGTCACAGCCATTTCACCTTGGCTTTCAATTCCAAGATGCTGAAGAATACTCGTGCTATAGGGTAATGTTACTCCTGAAACCCCCCAACTCAAACATATTCGAGAGGTTGGGGCTGGGGAATGTGTGGAAGACGGCGTGGATCTTTGCTCAGCCTTCCCTCAGAACAATTGTACTTGGGTGAATGGACCAGTTCGCAGGGGGAAATAGGTTGTAAAGACATGTAGATATGTCTAGAATACACAGCGAAATAGATGAGTAGCTTACTCAGCCGCCACCAGGGCTGATCAAATGGAGTTTTGACGTTTTGGGGCATAAACCATAGAAAACATAGAAAGGGAACTTCTGATATGCATGATATGACTCTAGAGCCAAAAGCGAGTCTTAAGGTTGGGGACCTACGTAGTACGTTCGAAGGTAGTGGCTAGTGCTGTGTTAACTTGATGCTAGCAGATGATTTCTTCTGCATGCTCTGTCAATGCAGATGGGAGGCAGTAGGAGAGGTTTCCCCTATCTTTCATTGCCTCCTGGAATTATCATAGAAATCAAGATTGGCATTGTTGATGATCCGGCTTACAGAAGCACCTACGCCAAGAGACTATCGACCGCTTGGCGCCACTGATGAACTGGTCTGTGAACGATGAAATATCACACCGTTGTCGTTCGTCTCACGAGCCGGAAATGATGCGTTGCGGTGATGTAATGCCGGCAATAAGAAAGCACGAGATCGATCCTGCGAGGATATAAAAAGAATGGGGAGAAATCAAAGCAACCCAGCAGAACGGCCAACGAGCCAAGGATACGGCATCCGTGCTAAAAGCTATGATCTTCAGCTGAACCGAGACAGAAAGAAGCGAATCGTGACTACAGCTTCCCCCCTTGTTGGCTTGATTGCTTGGGAGAGACGGCCAGACGGTAGCCCCCTCCAAATCTCCGGATCGGCCCTGTGGGTACGTACAATGAGCCCATGGAAGAATTCTACGGCGCAGCGGACAGAGAAGACCTCAAAGCCAGTGCTGGTACTGTGCGACGAACGAGGCCGAGCTTGGCACCTGGAAGCCCGGGATGTGTTTGCCACGTCTGCAGGTCTTTGAGTCAGTAGCTACTCCTGCCCCTGCGCCGTTGAAGGTCTCCAGCAGCGCCAGATCAGCACTGTAGGTTTATCGTGATCCGCCGCCAGGCCTAGCACGGGCAATAGTGCGCGCGATGCCTCGTCGATGCTCTGGAACGAGTTCGCCCGTGCAGGAGAGCAGACGCTCTGTTTGGCTTGGGGCGGTGGACCCTGGATTGGTGAGAGCTGCAAGGGCAGAGCCGGATCCAAGACCAGACAAGGGTTTAACGGCCGCTAATGGCTTGAGGAGGCTGCTGTGGGTCATTCTGGTGAAATTACCCTTGGCGGCACCGAGCTACAAGAACCTTGCGGAGAGAAAGGAGTTCGTTCTTCAGGAGGTCCCCAGCCCTCCCGCCCGCCTGAGACGTCCATCGAAATCACTTGCTCGCATTCATCCGGACTTGCAGCTCTCCAGACAAGGAATCCGTACCTGCACACTCCATACGCGCATACGGCGCACATTCGACATGTACCGTAGAACCCACATCCCTCCCTCGTTAGCACGTCTTAGCACCTCGTCCGTCCTCCCCATCCCCATCCACCACCCCGGCAGTGGTCCACAGACAATCCCAAGTCCATGAGGTAAGGGCTTGGGTGCGCCATGGGATGAAGTCCGGTGGAAGTGGAAGGTAACACGGCTAGTGCTGGCCTTCTCGATCACCAAGCCTCTGACTACTCCAGGATCCGTGCCCCATTATGATTGCTGATCAATACCTGGACACTGGTCTCATTAGCCACGTACATGATAGCTCACACTTTCCTCTGTATGACAAATGTATTTTTAGACGCCTTGTTTTTGACCGTTCCGGGGATGAGAGCACCAGAAGGTGGAGAGGGCCAATTACTACCTGGACAGTAGGTAGCATCGTCCAACCTACCTACCTGGGTATAATGCCTATTGGGACCCAGGACGCGTTATTTCAACGCGCCCGGCACCGTCGTCTACGCCTACCCGCCATGTAGCTCGCTACGGGCTTCCTTCACCGCGCGTCGACTGCTGGGGAAATCCCCTTCACCTGTCGGTATTTCAGCAGGCGTTGCCTTGCAACCAATTTGCCTCGTGGATCCGCGGCCTTGCGGGTGTTTCGGCCAAAGTGGGTTTCGCATCCGGAAAGGCCATGGGTACGTCAGGTCATAAGCAGTCAGTGAATCCTCCCAAACTGGTAGCTGGCTGGCTAGCACTGATGGCTCAAGCCCGACAACATCAAGGTCATTGCCCGGCGCTAGATGGTGGTGTTCTCCAGCAGGAGTAGTGCAACCAAACCAACTCAGGCAGATCCATCTGGCCCCGAGTCCACTAAATGCCCGTCACTCGCATCCTAAATGGTGGGGAGTGGGACATTGTGCATGCTAAGGGCATGGGCCAGACGATAGCAGGAGTTGGGCAATGGGCCGGCGGCTCCCTTCCTGCCGTGGCACTCATCGTGAGGCATCCATCTGCTGTGGCCCCGAGAGGGCGACGGAGATTAAGGTGCGTCGCTTGCCCAGATTCTCGCTCGGCCTATCTACTGCCAACACGCCCATCAATGGGAGGAGCCCGGGTACGAAAGGGGGCTGCCGGGGCGGATATCGTCCCGTGCAGAGTGAATGAAAACATTAGGGACGTCTGTATTTGTCAGATGGCGGACAATAGACACAGTAGAGGCTTGCTAGCTAGTCATTTGGCCAAGGGAGATGTGCATGCCACTCTCTCACCAAGGACATTACATATTGTCCGGTGCGGAGTCCCATTGCTGCTGTGCTTCCGCCGTGCAGCTGCCCAGAATCCGTGCCTGCGTCGATGCACGGCACTGGCAGGCGCCGTCACCTAGCCCATTAGCAATTGAGAGATAATCAGCACGGCAAAGCAATGTGTATCAGAGCTGTGTGGTGTTGCGCACCCCATTCGCCCAAGGTCTGAGATGCATGCATATGTGGCTACCTAGGCATGTACTTGTACTGATACCCTGCTGTTAGTGGAATGGATCCTAGCCAGAGCTCTACACTACCTGCACAATAGTACCCGACTTGGTGTTATTTGATAAATAGTAGAGGAATCCACCGAAATTTCCCTTCTACGTATCCCCGTTGGCCCCCTTCACCTCCCATTCGGCTTGGGGAGAGATCATTTCCTACCAGCCTTGCCTTACTGGCTGCCTACCTCCCAGTCCCTAGTCCCAGACGGCCACTTGTGGAGTATCTCTTGGCACCTGCACATAATAACCCACCAGCGCACTCGGGGGGAAGGGGGGAGCCAAATGCATGACTTGGGGCAGCCAGGCCAGCATAAGCAGGACCAACGACAGACAAGTAAGGAGGCCGTTTTCACACGTATGCTCTAGATAGACAGACTTCAATGCGCGAGGTTGGCTCCCTAATTCTCGTTTTTGCTGCTATTTCCCTCAACTGGTCTTCCACGACTCCATCCATGTCATACTCGTAGCTATGTGCCTGAGCTTCGGACGCTCCCAGCAGTGCGACGCTACGGCGCTGCTGGTCGCTGTAAAATTAACCATTCTCCATAAGCGAAAGTCCAATGCCCACACAGACAGGCGGTATGTAGTGTACAACTGGGAGGGAGGCTGGAACTCGGCCTTGTACCTGGCCACCTTGGCAGTGCGTAGTGGTACTTCTGAGACGCCGCTATGCATGCACAACTCACGGCTGCTAACCCCCCTGGAGCTTGCATCTGTTCCCTTCCCAGGTACTGTACCTCCACTTCTACACCAAGGCGCCCCCCTAATTGGGACTAGACAAACGAGCCGAACCTGGAACCTGCCTCCATTGCCTGGGCACCCTCGCCGTCCCAGTTCATCCGCCAGTCAGTGAGCACAGCCCAGTTCTGTGCAAGCTCATCCAGGTCTCCTTCTTTCTTCCACCACTCCACACCACACCACCCAAACTCGTCAATCCCATCGACCTGCGAGGGCTTCACCCAATTCTCATCATCTCTCGAAGCCATCCGCAGCGAATCGACAATTTGCTCCCGTAACGCCTCGCCCGCGTCCACCTCTCGATCCCTCGCTGGCTTTTCGCCTGCCAGACCAACCTCCTCCTCCTCCCCCTTTCTCCTCCGTGCTCGTCGCCTTCAGCTTCCAACATGAACTCGCAAGGCCCAAGCGAGGTGTCGCCGGAGACAATGCAGGCGCGCATTCAGCAAGCGCGTCGCGAAGCAGAGACTCTCAAGGACAGGATCAAGAGAAAGAAGGATGAGCTCGCCGACACCACCTGTACGTGTCTCTGCAATTGGGCTTACCAACAACGAGCCAACACCCCCTTGCTTCGTGTTCCATCTACTAACGCTCCATGATCAATCCAGTACGCGCCGTCGCTCAACAGGCTCATGAGCCAATCCCTAAGAACCAGCTGATGAAGGCCAAGCGGACGCTCAAGGGCCATTTGGCCAAGATTTACGCCATGCATTGGTCGACAGACCGAAGACACCTCGTCTCTGCATCTCAGGACGGCAAGCTCATCATCTGGGACGCCTACACCACCAACAAGGTCCATGCCATCCCTCTCCGGTCATCCTGGGTCATGACCTGCGCCTACGCTCCCAGCGGCAATTTCGTTGCTTGCGGTGGTCTCGACAATATTTGCTCAATTTACAACCTGAACCAGCAGCGCGATGGTCCTACGCGTGTCGCCAGGGAACTTTCGGGGCACGCAGGATACCTGTCTTGCTGCCGCTTTATTAATGACCGCAGTATCCTCACCTCGTCCGGTGATATGACCTGCATGCGGTGGGATATCGAGACGGGCCAGAAGGTGACCGAGTTCGCCGACCACCTGGGAGACGTCATGAGCATCAGCCTGAACCCCACGAACCAAAACACCTTCATCTCCGGCGCCTGCGACGCTTTCGCCAAGATGTGGGATATCCGTGCCGGAAAGGCCGTTCAGACATTTGCCGGTCACGAATCGGATATCAATGCCATCCAATTCTTCCCCGATGGCCACTCCTTCGTCACAGGATCCGACGATGCCACATGCCGTCTGTTTGATATCCGTGCTGATCGAGAGCTTAACCTCTATGGCGTAAGTTGAATATGGCGCATCCCCGTATTATAAAAAAAACTAACGTCTCCTCCAGTCTGAGTCTATTCTATGCGGCATCACATCCGTCGCTACCTCCGTATCAGGCCGTCTATTGTTCGCCGGTTACGACGACTTCGAGTGCAAGGTGCGTTTTTTCTCGGCGTGGGGACGGATTGCAGTTGGCTTTCTATGGAGTACTAACATGGGTTGGCTTAGGTTTGGGACGTGACTCGTGGTGAGAAGGTCGGCTCTCTCGTTGGACACGACAACCGCGTGAGCTGCTTGGGAGTCAGCAACGACGGCATCAGCCTGTGCACAGGTTCTTGGGACTCACTGGTAAGCTTTCGACGTCGAATTGAAATTAAGAATCCAACTAATGCGCGTTGTGCAGCTGAAAATCTGGGCGTACTAAGTCGCGCCTTTAATCGATTGATGGAAATCCTGTCCAAATCTATGAAACCAATCCGTGCTGCGACCTCATTTGTCCGACTATCTGCCAACCGATCAACCACGATCTCCTAATTATCCAGAGCGAGCATATCGATGACGCTTATCCAGCCATGCGACTATTGACACGCATGACGACTTGACGAAATCCGTACCTTTTCATCACATACCGCCTTTTCTATTCCCTTTGATCGACGAACGAATCCCATCCTAGCCACGAAGCCGCAATAGTGCTCCACCACTACCGCGATCAGCCTTCATATGGAGGTCGACCTACACAATACCTCCTCATTACTTTTTTCCTTGACTTGTTCTCTCCGTCGCAACTCTTGAGATGCGACTTTGCCTATGGTGCTAGGCGCTTGTATTACATGACGGTTTATTTCTGTTGTTCCTTTTACTATTTCCTTGCGTCTCCAATTAGTTCGGTCATCCCTTCGTGGCGGGTGACTCTTGGAACTACTTGTTTTGTTTCATTCTGTCCCACCAGAAAGCCTGGAACAAAAGAAAAAAAACTTATTACAGTGGTTGTTGTCGGAACAAAACAGGTTGTCGCCCAGAAGTCAGGATGTAGGTGGTGGGTGTGTGGCGACAGCATTGACAGTGAGGAGGTGCCTGAAGATAATACACTACGATGATCCCCAAACTTCTCAATGGCCCTTGTCCCTGTTCGTCTGCGGATAATTTACAATGTGGTCTTAATAGTGCTGCGGGTGAAAATGGAGAGGGAAGAGGGAGATCCGGGAAACGGCAGGCTTCCCGGATATCTGTGGACGTGCGAAGGAGGGCGGGGTTTGTTGCGAGAAGGATGCTCTTTGAACGAAATACGAGTGACGGTGTGGAGGATACTATACCACGGGAGAGGTGTTTTGTCTCTTTTGACTTATTTCTTGCCTTGCTCTCTTTCTATTTTGTCGCTGATGGGTTGCTTAACCCTCGGTTTCTTTGCTTTTCTCTTCTCTTCTCTGTACTCTGGTTCTGACTGAGACTTTCGCAAAAAAAGTTCAAAATATGAGAGAAACGTGTTTGTGCTCAATGCTTGTGTTGTGCTTTCTTGGGGTAGGACACTGCGTGATCGTTAATTTGGTGCATCTGGAGGAAGAGGGACTCGGCATAGTGTGCAGTTATATCTGATGCGCACAGGATGACGAGATATATATGGCTGCTGGTGTCCATATCTGGTGAGGATGCCTGTTCCTGTCGTTCTCTGGTCGGTCACACCCTGGGCGCCATCTACAGATAGAGGTGCCAGCAACTGCTTCAAAAGATATGCGGTTCGGCTTTGCTTAGCCTAGGTAGAAGATAGAATACTAGGTTAAGCTCTACAGTGTCACAGGCCACATCTATTTAGTGATGCGCTTCCCCGGTGTGGTTGTCACATATTGGCAATCGAACGCGTCGGCAGCGTGGATCCTCGCCTCGCTTGGACTCGACGTGGCCCTCGATGAGTGACGAATCATACCATGGACGAGTTAAACTAATTTGCCGCAAAGCGAAGGTGACATGTATGCACGAGGGGTCCCTCGAACTATTGGCGTTATGCATGTGATTCCGATCGGATATTAGCCCTCGCTGACTGTTAAGGATATCGCCGAGTGCGGTCTATTGTATCTTCCCCGGGAATAGGTACATGGGATTTCGAGCCGTATTTTGGAGACGGATAAGTGGTATTCATGATCCCTATGGGAATGGCATTCATTTTAAGCTACTTTTGGTGGCGGAATCTCGGCAAGGTACGTCCGGCACAATTACAGAGAACTCTAGAGTCGTCTGTTTTCTTTACACGACGGAACCTGATTAAGGTATATAACTCTAACCTTACGCGAGTATTATCCGATCCATGTTTTCCATGGCCAGGAGAAACGAGGCATCTGTTAATCTCACCTGCTTGTTGGACCTCGCTGCAGGGTAGGTAATCGGGCAGGTAAATATGTAGATGGAGGGAGGTGGACCGTGGGCCCCTTACACCCGCTGTAGAATGATGCCATGCGTGTAATTGCTTTAGCGGGTGGTGTGAGCTTGTTCGCCTTGTGCCCCACGTCAAGCTCCCACTACAGGAGCGGGGAGACATCCAGTAGCTATTGGCTGGTGCTCCTGGCGGTCCAAGTTGCTCTATCATCAATCAACTTGCTCTATCATCAATCAACTCATTCACGCCCGCCGTTCACATGCAACGCCGTATGTGAACTGATATCTCAGCCTCCAACTGCCCCTCCCGCCAGAAGGCCTTGGATATCCCATTGGAGTTCACTTCGATGCTCTAGATCTTGCTACGATTCTTATTTTACCTGCAATAGTCTTCCTGGATCTCCTTCGCCATTATCAAGTGAAACATAGAGCCGGTTTCGCTCAACCTTGCTCGACCAACAAAGACAATCGTCGACCGTTCGCCTCGAGCTCGGACGACAGCCAAGAAAGCAGCCCAAGATGTCCCTGCCGTCCCAGCACCCCCCGCTCCTCCTCACAAAGCGCCTCACGAGCTTCCTGCACGCCAACCAGACCTCCCAACTGCCAACCCTCCTCGTCGCCACCCAGACGGGCAAGCTCCTCGCCCACGCGAGCCCGAACCCCGTCTCCCTCCTCCGCACGCACGCCACCGTGGCGGCGTCGCTGTTCGCAATCCACACCTCCTCGGCCCCTGCTCTGTCCGCCGCCCTGCCCGGCGGAGCGCACACGCCCGAGGGGATCCCCAGCTCTCCCCTGCGCGGGGACGACTACGACGACGACGACGAAGACGCAGACACATACGACGAAGAGGAGGAGGAGGAGGAGGAGGAGCACCGCGGCAGGCCAAGACCCCCGCCAGTGGCGCCGGACCCGTTGAAGCCGGCCACCATCACCGTCCAGCTCAGCGGAGGCACCGTGCTCATCCGCCGCCTCAAGTGCGGCCTGCTCTTCGTGTGCGTCGGGCCCCCCTCGGCCGACCACGGGGACCACCACCACCCGGTGCAGCACCTCGACGGCGGCGAGCTCGTCACCGCCGCCGCCGCCCTCGCCGTGTCCACGAGCCCCAGCGAGGTGGCCAGCCAGATCAGCGTGGGCGGCCAGTCCACCTCGAGCCACGAGAGCGTCGGCGCCGCCATGGTCGTGGCGATGAGGAGGCAGGCCTCCGACCTGGCCAGGTGGCTCGACGACAAGCTCGGGACACTGGCTGTCCCGGAAGAGGGCGTCGGCGCAGACTGAGGAATCTGACGAGCAAAGGATGGGAGTTTTTTTGACATTGATGTTTTCAACGTGGCATGGGCGTTTCAGGGGAGATATTATCAACTCGCATGGCTTGTTGACTTTGGGACGCATTTTAATGACCTGACAATTCTTTTACTTCTCGCATGGAGCGTTTATGACGAATACAATAATAGACTTGGAACTTTTTGAAAGCTGAACGCTTGAATCTAATTACATACTTGGTATCTTTTGGTTGTTCTACAATGATGTTACGCTGTAGAAGTGCTCAAATAACTAGTTACACGAGGAAATGGTGGAAAAAAAAATATCGATAACTTGCGCTCATGATACCCCAATACCAACGCCGTTTTGATGCAAACCCAACACACCTCACCATGATCCACCACGAGTCGTCTCCCCCAGCTGAAACATCGCCTCTTTTTAGGGTAGGGGTGGCTATTCAATACTCATGCGCATGATGCCCTCGTTGGTATCTACCATGCCCTGGAAGCCAACTCTCCCTTTGCCATTCACTCTGGCGCCAGAGGTAGCGTTCGCGGATGCACCGCCATTGCTCCCCGACTCGCTTGGGGCGCTGCTGCCGTTCTTCTCCCCACTGTTGCTACTTGGCCTGGAGTGCAAGTGGCCCGCGTCTCGCTGCATTGGGCTTTGCACGAGTGGGGAGTTGTGCACGCTCATGCCGGGACTGACGGCACGACGTTTGAAGCTGACAGGGTCGAAGTCACTGTCACGGCGGCGTTTGTTGTTGATCCGACGTGTGATCTCCGCAGCGCTTGGTGGTTGATTTTGCGGGAACTGCATTTCTTGTCGGATTTGAGCGAAGCCAGGGGCTACAGCTAGCGAAGGCGAGTCCATTGTCATATCATCGTAGATATTTGATGAGGAGCCCCGCGGCAAGATTTGAAGAGCCAAGGGTGGCGGGCTCGTCCTCCCCCCGTTGACGCTCCCGCTATCGGAAAAGGTGTCCCAGAAGTTCTTGCCCTTGGAATTTTTCATCGCTTGTTGTTTGAAGCTGCTGGATAGACCGAGAGCTAGATCTCCCATCATGTCATCTTCGGGAATGTCGTCTAAGTTCTCTTGATTGGGTGAGGAAAGACCCGGGGCAGTGGTGGACGTTGGGTTTTCTGCTGCTGGGCCGGGCGGTGCCCTACGAGGCTCAAGCACATCGCTTTCGCGAACTTGTTTGACCACCTCCGCTTCGCGTTTGAACTCAGCTTCGGCTGGTGCACCCTCCTCTGCAAGGACTGCTCTGATCCGGGCAAAAGTCTTCGTCTTGGGCTGTGCAACTAGTTAGCAATGGCTATCATGACTTGCTGATATATAATTGTTTTCCTGCAACTCACCAACATATTTCCTCTCCGTGTCACTGCGCGACGAATGACATTCCTTGAACCATCGCTACTCGTCCCATCACCTTCGTTCCCTTTGTTGGTTTCATCGGCGGCATCTGCTATGTGCAATTGGTTTGCCTGCCAACTAATGCTTTCTCGTCTGGCATTGGTGGCAGCGTTGTTCGGAGGTGAGTTGGAGATACTCGAGCCCCCGCTGTTGAACCCTATCCCCATGGGGACGCGTGCCTTCTTCTTGATATGTTTGCGGTGTCTTTGGCGCTGCTGGAAGCTCATCAAGCTCCCCGCTGCAGGTGACCCGAATGGAGGCTGGCCCACACTTGAAATCGTCCTATGTACTTGAGGTGTCATGACGAAGTTATCCTCCATATCTTCGTCCATTGGGTCGTCTTCATCTGAGGAACTGGACGAGTCGGAGCCAACCGCTTGCGCACTACCCAACGAGTGGCTGAGATTCATCCGCTCCCGATTTCCCATCATTGACCAGAGTGACGTCGAAACCTGCTCCGGACCTCCAAAGTCGCCCCGACGAGCCGGGATGTTCATGGCCTTGCCAGCCATTGTCGGTGACGCATCTGGCGAAGATTGCCCGGCTAGAGTCGAGTGGTGAAGACTTGTCGCAGACCGGGAGAAATCCAGGCCGCGCGACCGTCGAGGGACAATATTGGTAGGAGATGCATATATATGGGAGTTGTCAACCTGAGGAGACAGAGGGGCGGCCTTGATGTAAGCGCTTGAGGTAGCGGGCGGCGGAGTGAACTCTCTCGTGGGCATCTGGAGCGACAGACCACTAGGGGGGAACTCAGGACGCCGGGGCGTTACCGGTGTTGTGATATCCCGGAGGCCGCTGTCATCTTTCGAGGTTCGTCGGGATAGATCGCCGAAATTGGGTAGGGAGGGAATTTTAATGGGCGTGCTTCCGCCGTCAGAGAGTGATCGGCGACTCTTGGACTTTGCGATTGGCGATGGGCCAAGAGCCGGTAAGCTATTATCTTGTTTGGGAACTTCCATGTCGATGTTTCGACAAGAGCCGAGTAAGCGTTCGGGGTGTTTTCTATCTGTATTTGCGTGCATGCAGCGTCAAAATGACGTCGCGGTGACTTGGGATCATTGGTTCGTGGTAGCCAGGTGTAGCTGCGGAGGATTCCCACGTCGATTTGGAGAAGGTGGCACGGTTGCGTCGTAGAGAGATTGCTGAGATCAAGTGGGCGTAGAATGGATAGATTAGACCAGGCTCGGGGAACAAGAGATCGGAATTGCCTGGGAAAGCCTGCTTTCGCAATTCATTATTTAGAAAGACATGGTTGGCGGCGGTGGAGAGAACGAGAGAGTTAGAGGGCGGTGGGAGGTGATATGGGGAATTGGACGCGCCATTGACACTGGCATGGATATTTGGAGTACTTTACAGTGGCCAGCGGTTACCAGCAGGAGCGAGCAGGTGGTCCTGGCTGTTGTTATCGATAGTGGTGGGGCAGTTGTTGTTACGCCAGTGGCTTCTTAATTACCTAGCGAGTGACGGAATGGCATGCCTGCTACAACCAGCGATGGATGGGTGACCCATCGTCCATGGATCAAGGGTCGAGGCCCATGGGTCAAGCAATCGAGATAGGTGGGGTCCAGCCCAGTGCTGTTTGGTTGACGTAGAGTTGCACATGCAAATAGCGGGTGGGCTGGTGGGCGCTTGTTGGGCAAGGTACGATCTCGGGTTTTAGGGATAGAGGCCGAACAAAATGGTGCTCCAGTGTGCTTGGTCTCCGCAATCTGGCTCGTAGATTCTGCCAGCTCCAATTCCAGATGAGTGCTTTTCAAGCATTGAGACGTCTGCGAGCCATCCAGAGCTTCTTGATCCGCCCAAGCACCGCCGCTGCAACCTCTGTCCCCAACCCAACCAGTAAGCACCAGCGCTCAAATCAGGGCTCCCCGCGTGCATTTCGCTCGTGTCGCTGTGCTGGGCTGACCTCTCCTTCTCTCCTCAGCAGCGAATCACACTCGCCGCTTAGCAACCATGGCGGCTACCAAGACAGAGAACTACAAGTTCAACCACACCATGTAAGAGCCCCGAGCTGGCGGGATGTGCAAAGGCGAACGTGCTTATTAACTAATTGACAGGATCCGAGTCAAGGATCCCAAGGAGTCGGGTAAGGCTAGCAGACGGCACCTTGATGTCCACATTGACGTTTCTATTGGCTAATCATAGGGCCCATGGTCTCGTTCAAATAGTCAAGTTCTATGAATTCCTGGGCATGAGCCTGATTAAGAAGCTTGAGTTCCCTGAGGCCAAATTCGATCTCTACTTCCTGGGATACGACAGCCCAAACGCCCTCTCCCACGGCAGGTCCGTCTTTGATCGCGAAGGACTCATTGAGCTGACACACAACTATGGGACTGAAAACGACCCTGATTACCAGATTAACAATGGTAACAAGGAGCCTCACCGTGGCTTCGGTCACACCTGTATCAGCGTAGACTACATCCAGGCTGCTTGCAAGCGTCTCGAGGATGCTGGCTACAAGTTCCAGAAGAGGTTGGATGAGGGCCGCATGAAGTACATCGCCTTTGCCCTCGATCCCGATGACTACTGGGTTGAGATCATTGCCGATGGCAAGAAGACTCTGGAGGAGATGGCTGAAGTCAAGACGACTGATGTCTCTACCTACCGAATGGTACGTTCCGAAGTTTCAACTTGAGTAAGACCTATCCCCCGGGCGGGCTAACATTCCCCTAGAACCACACCATGATTCGCGTCAAAGACATCAAGAAGTCACTCGATTTCTACCAGAACACTCTGGGCATGTCTCTCCTGCGCACAATTGAGAACACAGAGGCCAAGTTCAATCTGTACTTCCTCGGCTACCCAGGAGAGCAGGGTATTGAGGCAGATGGCATCACTAACCGCCGCGAGGGACTCCTCGAGCTCACCTGGAACTACGGCACCGAGAACGACGAGAACTTCGCCTATCACAATGGAAATGATCAACCCCAAGGCTTTGGCCATATCTGTAGGTCTTATTGTGTCCCATAGAGAATTACTGCCCCTTTCTTCGGATAGATCACTGACCTCGTTGACCAAGGTGTGACGGTGGACAACATTGAAGCTGCATGCAAGCGCTTCGATGATTTGCAGACCAATTACAAGAAGAGGTTGACGGATGGCCGCATGAAGAATGTGGCATTTCTCCTCGACCCAGACAACTACTGGGTAGAAGTTGTCCAGAATGAGCGATTCACTGGCCAGGCCAACTTCTGAGGGTCGTACATTGCATCAAGGGGCTTGTAGCTGAAGAGCCGTGGGACAACTGGGTAGCTAGCTTGTGTACCTATGCAGGGCGCCAAAGTACTCAGCACGCAGAGAACACGTTTCATATCCTCTCACTTGGCCGCTTGTAATGTGACGATGGAAACGGATGCCCAGGGCACCTCCTGCATATGCATGGGACTTGCACACGTGAATGGCACACTGCGAGACAGTGCAGCGGCTATCGGTTTTCAGGGAAGAAATGGCGTCTTTTCTGCATTTCCTCGGCTCCCAGGCCCGGATCCTCGAAGCGAGAGCCGTGCTCCAGACGTTTTGTTGCCGTTGGAGACGCCAATGGAGGGGGGCTCGTGTGCACTTCTCGACTAGAAACGAATCGCCACATGGTGGCGAGCGGGGGAAACTTAGCGTCTTCTCTCTTCTCTCCTCTCCCGAGACATGATAGGTGCGTACTGCTGAGTCTCGCGCGGGGGTGGCTCATGCTGGTTGTAGGATGCGGTGAGCCCAAAACGTGGGGAAGGTCAGGCTTCTTTGATTGCGGCTTGTACGTTTTATTGGCATACTGCCCAAACTCTAACCGCCTCGTGCTACTTCGCATTGTCGCACCCTTGCCAGCCCTCCTTTCCCGATGGAGCCGAGCTCGATGTTAACGTGGGGGGAAGATTGATGAAGCATCTTGAATAGGTAATGCCATTAGCTGAGCGGGATATGCCTTGATCAGTCCGCAGCACTCCCCCCAAAGCAGCCGGCTGCCGCTCCCTGTGATGCGTCAGGTTTGGGTGTGATTGCTCAGATTACTCCGGCAGTGTAATTGTGGGTGACACTCGCAGAGGTGAGACCACAAATCCTCCGGCCGACGTCGTCACCACCTTCCGGCTTGCCTAGCAGTATATCTGTTCCCCCTCAGACCTTTCCCCTTCCGCGCCAAACCTTGCCATTCCACCCATCTACACCTCGTCGTGTATTTGCCCCCCAAAATGGTACCAGTCGCCACTGAAGACTCACATCCTCACTCCCAGGGCTTTGCTCGCCCTCGGATCCTCGTGCCTGAAAAGGTGTCCCCTGATGGCCTGGCTATGCTCACTCCCCACTTTGACGTTGACAATGTTGTTGGCCTCTCCCCGGAAGAGCTCATTCGGAAGATCCCCCTCTACGATGGCTTGATTGTTCGTTCTGAGACCAAGGTGACGGCTGCTGTCCTCCAGGCCGGCCGTAAGCTCAAAGTCGTAGCCAGGGCCGGAGTCGGTGTCGACAACATCGATGTCGGTGCTGCTACCTCGCAGGGCGTCATCATCGTCAACTCGCCGGCGGGGAACATTGTTGCCGCTGCCGAGCACACCATCGCGCTGCTTCTAGCTACTGCTAGGAATATAGGCAGAGCTGATGGCACCATCAAGGAAGGTAAGTGGGAGCGAAGTAAGCTTGTGGGCATTGAGGTCGGCAGGAAGACCCTTGGCATCATTGGCCTGGGCAAGGTCGGCCTCAAGGTTGCCAGGATGGCGAAGGGGCTGGGAATGAAGGTGATAGCCGTCGACCCGTATGCGAGCGCCGACATTGCTTCTCAGGAAGGTGTTGAGCTGAGACCCAGTCTCGACCATATCCTACCCGAGGTTGACTTCTTGACTATTCACACACCTCTGCTGGCCACCACGCTGGATCTGCTCAGTGAGGAGGAGTTCAAGAAGATGAAGAAGACGGCCCGAGTTCTCAATGTTGCGAGAGGCGGGGTCTACAATGAGGCGGCCCTTCTCAAGGCATTGGACGAAGGCTGGATTGCAGGAGCTGGCCTTGATGTGTTCACATCTGAGCCCCCGACGGCCGACTCGGTTGCTGCCCAGCTGACGAAACACCCCAAGGTGGTTGCAACGCCTCATCTTGGAGCATCTACCGTGGAGGCGCAAGAGAATGTCTCCATGGATGTCTGTACTCAAGTGCTCGAGATTCTCCGGGGTGGACACCCGACGAGTGCCGTCAACGCACCCATCATCCTGGCTGAGGAGTACCGCAAGCTCCAGCCCTCAGTGGAGTTGGTCGAGAAGATGGCCAAGCTTTACGCGCAACACTACGTGGGTGGCAAGGGAGGCATGATGGGAGGCCGGAAGTTCGAGCTGATATACCACGGCGACCTTGCTACCATGCCCAACACCAAGCCCTTGTTCGCGGCCCTGGTCAAGGGTCTTTTGGCCTCGTTCAGCACATCTCACGTGAACATCGTTAACGCAGCCCTCATCGCCAAGGAGAAGGGCATCATCGTCAGCGAGACCTACGCAAGTGACACCAAAAACCTTTTGTTTGCCAACATGGTGACACTCCGGGCCCACTCCAACGGGGATGATGGGGAACCGGTCACGGAACAGGTCATTGAAGGATATACGTCTGATCAACGAGGTTTCATCACGAAGCTCGACCGCTTCAACGGCACATTTGAGCCAGACGGAACCCTGATCATTCTACACAACTATGATCAGCCCGGAAAGATCGGGGGTGTCGGAATGGTTCTCGGGGAGCACGGCATCAACATCAACTCGATGCAGGTGGCCAGCTTGGACCCTGGCCGACCAGAGTCTAGGGAAGCAAGGAAGCGAGGTGCCACGGCAGATAACGAGGCCCTCATGATTTTGGGCGTGGAGGGGCCCGTCAACGGGCAGGTGGTGGAGGACCTGAGGCGTTCGGAGGGTGTATTGGATGTCAGTATTGTGAGGCTGTAGATGATAGATTTCTCAGATCAACAGTTGGGAATGAAGGATGCTATGTAGACACTTCTTTCAACAAGATACCCTTGCAATTGTACACGAGATCATCCGAGGTGCGCGGAAATGCCAAGCAAACAAAGCCTATCAGCCAGCCCTGGTACGTAAAAGTCTACAGGAGAGGCCACCGCCTTCTAAGCAATCTGATGAATCGCGAGAGCGAAAAGAGCCTGACCACTGCATACCTATGGGTGACCCCTGTATTTGAATATGAGTTCTATCGCATGTACCTACAATATGTATCTTGGACCCGATGCAATGCAGGGGACAGCCGGCTATTAGCAGCCAATTAAGTAGGTACCCGATAGCGCTGGGTCGAACTGCTCGGCATGGTTCCAGGGCGCCCCACTGGAGGGGGACTCGTGCTGCAGGGTTGTGCCAGCCTTCTTCCAGCAAGTAACATAGTGCCCAGCCTTAGCTGTCGTAAGCTCGAACCTTCCTTCCATTCCCTCCAGGGCTGCGGCGTTCTTCTGGATTGCTCTTCGAGATTTGCTCATCGCTTGAATTCTGCGTCTCCTCCCGCTAACCACCGGACGCTCGCTGCGGCAGTACAGGTCTTTCCATCCAGTGTCTGTGCCTTAGTACAGCCCTCCAGCCAATAGGAACATCTCTGGTGCTTCACCCGCGACCAATTTGCGAGGACAACGTCATCGTCGCCCTCGTTAATTCGACTCGAGAGCAAACACCACTGTTTTCTGCTCGTCGTATCGCCAACCTTAAGCTATCAATTGGCATCGAACAATCGCACGCACCAGACACTTTCGGCGTTGATCTATATATTTTCATCCCATCATCGATAGCAGGAATTTATTCTCACGACAATCAAACATCGCGGGGACAATCGACATGGTGCGAAGGGGCGCACCCGCAACGGGCGCGGCGGCTTTTCGCCCTGCAGTCCTTTCCATGGCACGACTCGCCAGCGTGAGCATCTCAGCCGTTGCCGCTGCTCCCCTGACCTCTTTTGAGGCCGAGCATCACGAAGAGGACCCGACACCTATCTGGGTCCTGGCTGTCGCTTCGATAGCTCTCACATTGGTTGGAGGTGTCTTTGCGGGTCTTACAATCGCGTAGGTATTTCTGGCGGTATTTGCACTTGGGGATGATGCTAATTGGCGCCGATACAGATTGATGGGCCAGGATAGCATCTATTTGCAGGTTCTCTCTGGCGATCCGAGCGAACCTCAACACAAGAATGCTAAGCGTGTTCTTGAGCTCTTGGGCAAAGGCAAGCACTGGGTACTCGTCACCTTACTTCTGTCTAATGTCATTGTCAACGAATCGCTGCCGGTGGTGCTTGACCGCACTTTGGGGGGAGGAGTCGCGGCTGTTGTTGGTAGCACGGTCCTCATCGGTGAGTTTCGACAGCCTCATGTATCACCCCGCTAGGTAGTGCTAATGCGCCGGCTTCCAGTTATTTTTGGCGAAATCATTCCCCAGGCTGTCTGTGTCAGGTACGGCCTCCCCATCGGCGGCTACATGTCCAAGCCTGTCCTCCTCCTCATGTATCTTATGAGCCCACTCGCATATCCCACCGCCCGACTATTGGACTGGATCCTAGGCGAGGACCACGGTACTACATACAAGAAGAGCGGGTTGAAGACCTTGGTTACTCTGCATAAATCGTTGGGAGAGCTTTCCGAGCGTCTGAACCAGGATGAAGTCACGATCATCACTGCTGTTTTGGACTTGAAGGACAAGCCCGTTGCTGAGGTCATGACCCCGATGAAGGATGTCTTCACGCTCTCCGAGGACCATGTTTTGGATGAGAAAACCATGGACAAGATCCTCTCTTCGGGTTACTCACGTATCCCCGTTTATCGAACCGGCCACAAATCCGACTTTGTCGGCATCCTCCTCGTCAAGACCTTGATTACGTATGATCCCGAAGATGCCATTCCCGTTCGTGACGTACCTCTGGGTGCCGTTGTTGAAACTCGCCCCGAAACAAGCTGTCTGGACATCATCAACTTCTTCCAAGAAGGAAAGTCGCATTTGGTTCTAGTCTCGGAATTTCCCGGTGGAGACCATGGGGCTCTCGGTGTTGTAACTCTGGAAGATGTCATTGAGGAACTGATTGGAGAGTAAGTCAAAGTTTCACAGATTTTATTGACAGGCATGTTCTAACTTCGAGCGTCTAGGGAAATTGTGGACGAGTCTGACGTTTACGTGGACGTTCATAAGGCGATCCGACGCTTAACTCCCGCACCCCGTGCCCGCCGGATTGAGGCTGCCGCCGCCGTTGCGGCAGCAAAGAAGACAACAGAACATCCCGTTCTCGTCGATATTGCCGAGGACACCGTGGGTAACACTCTGCAGGTCGGCTCTCTGGGCGCGATGAGCGACAGTGGAGGCCAGGACAAACGACCGAGGACGGCCATTTTCCTGAAACGCCGCAGTTCAGTCGGCCCCGATGGCCGTTTGGAAGACCACCCTGTACCCGTTGAGGCATCTCTCGAAGAAATGAAGCAGCAGCTTCGGCTCGGTCCCGCGAATCGTGCGGCTAATCCCCTCACCGCGAAGAAGAATGTGTTCAAGATTAAGCAGGGCCTCCACTCGAATCATGCCAGCCCCAGTGGTAGGGAAGATCCTATATCTCTTGATGTTAAGGCGAAAGGCGCTGCTAGTGATGAGAGAACGCCGCTACTAAGTAAGCAGGCACATGATGAGGATGGTCAAGGGTCGAAGGCGAACGGAGCTCGCGATTCATAGTATCTGGGGATGATGGGAGGGGAGGTCATGGAGAGGTAGAGGAGATAGGAAGCGATTGTCAAATTGCATGAGGAGTTTAAAATCGTTAGTCTTGTATTGTCCAGTGAAGAAGAATATCCCAAAGATGTTATGTTCTAGAAACTAAAACTCATTTTAAGGACCATCAGTTTTATAATTTTTTTTTCGAGTCTATTCACGTATGTGTTTTGTTATATTCTTGTATCCTCCACCAATGGAAAAGCAACCGAGCTGTGTGCATATGATTGGCGTTCGGACGAAAGAGTTGTGGTTGCTTGGGCATCAGGAACTATGATGTATGTTTTTTTTCTCCTGGGGGCATCCAATAATCCCACTTTTCATGGACAAGGGATCCATGGGTGTTGGAATTCGGTTGTTGCACCACTCGCCATCACAATACTGGCAAGGTTGTGAAGAGAATGTGACGAGCGGAGTGGTCTGGAGCTAGGTAGGCATTGATGCAGAGGTGGCTGAGGTTTCCCATCAGGATCAAGTGGAAGCCGTGTTATGTTCACATACCGAGTAAATATTGATAATTGATATGTTTCCTTGAAAGTTGATGATGCCAGGCCGAGCGGCGGGCTGAGAGTGGAGCACTGATGGTCCCTCGGAAACAGTTGTTGACTTGGCTGGGTGGCCGGAATTATGGAATACGACGTACGAGGAAGTAAGGTAGTGAAGCATAGGTGAGATTCTTCCAACGGCCAAGAGGTACCCTGGCTACGTACGTGCGAAAAATATGTGCTATTATAGCGCTATAACTTGATATATCAAGCTGTACTGACATGCTCATGTAGATGTACGCAGCACGCAACCTCTCCGAAGCTTGTAAATCGGAATTGATGGATCGGATGCACAAGCGAGTCATGAGGCGGGCGGTGTAGCCGTGGAGGGATTTTAGTTGAAACACGTATTCACTCGAGCCGGGAACAAAAGCAAGCCCAGCCATTCCTTGCATGCAGCCTGGGCAGCACGACACGACGTTGGCCGTGTCAGTTGGCTGGGCCCCCGCATTTCTGGCGATAAGATATGCGGGTTGTCGCCACGGCAACGCGCGACCCATAAACAACCGGCAGGCCGCCTTCCACGAGCTATTCTAGCCTCTTGACTGCTTTCCAACCCGCTGGCCGATCCCGAGAAAACCGTTATTCTCTACCGGTGCTCGACCTCGACAATGGCTTGAAGCTTTTCCTGCCAACTATTCTCTTGCCTTCACTTTTCTCCTTCATTTCTCAGCTGCAGGAGAGTCAACCTCGTCTTCTTCTTCATTTCTATTTACCCACCAGTGGTTGGGGCTGTTTCACTGAGTTTCTCCCGGCATTGGTCCGTAGGGAACTCGGCTGGCGTCCTGCTGCATGTCTGAGCCTATTTTGTCTCAGCAGCTTCCCACGTACCTACCAACACCGATCGATCCGAGGACATGGCCACCGTCCAAGATACAAAACAGCAAGGCCACCAGAGAACCAGGTCCTCCGTCCTCAGAAGCTTCGTCCACCGCCGCCAACCCTCTAAAGGAGAGGCCATAGTCCCGGAGCCACTGCAGGCCAGGATTGAGCAGAGCCCCGAGAGCAAGGACATCATGGGTGTCGGCGTGTTCACCAAGAACAACCCGGGCGCCCTGGGGGAGCTCCAGAAGAACCAGCAGGAGGCAGCCCCCCGCCTCTACCGACAGACCCGAGACGAACTACGAAGCGACCATGCACGAGGGCGATCACACTCCCCGACCAAGGGCGTTCTGGGAAGCAACCCCTTCTCCAGAGGCGCCAAGTCTCGCGAGACGTCACCATCGAAGCCAAAGAGCAAGACGGGTACCAACTTTGTTGGACTGCTTTCTAGGCCCAAGTCCCTCAAGAGCCTATACAAGCTCTCCTCTGAGCAGGGAAGCACCCAGCTTATGAAAGATAAGGAGAACCAGACGCCCGATGAGGATCCTTTGGAGCTGGCTCCGCCTACTCCAATCTTCGCTCAGTTCACAAGCGATGCCTCTGTCCGCAACCAGTTTCAGGAACGGCAGAGCATGGAGATGAACAACAACAGCAGATACTCTGTTGTCCCAGAACCACAACAGAATAACAGACCGGCTGTGAAGGAACGCCCCAAGTCCTTCCAGGTCGCACCCAGAAACTACCAACCTCCTTCTGTATCGTCGTCGACGGGATCTACATACTCCAATGGGTCTAGGAAGGGGTCGGGCTCAAACCCGGGCAGCAGCATCAAATCACAGAGAAACAGGGCTCTCAGGGCCCTCACCGGGATGGGCCACAGCCGATCCAAGTCAACCGTGGCCAGCCCGGTCACTGCGGAACCCGGTCCGGAGCTCATGATTGACCCCAGGGATATCAACAAGCATCTCGAAGCCATGCTGGACAGGCGGAACATCCCCGAGAACCAGAGGTACAAGATGCGAAACCTGAACGACACCATCAAGATGGAGTTCATCCGGCAGGATTGGGCGGAGATGCAGGCCGCAAAGCCTGATCGGCCTGGCACGACCGACAGCAGCAACAGTGCGGAGGGCGCCAGCGCCGTCGCAGCCGGTTCAGACTGCGAGGCTGAGAAACAGAAGCGGACAAGAGGTAGGAGCTTCACCTTTTCCCGCGGCAAGAAGGAGGCCAACAACACTTCGTCGAAGAAGAACAAGGGAGAGGGAACTCTCGGACGTCACTTCCGAAGCAAGTCAACGGACAGCGTCGTCAGCGAAAAGGACAGACCTACCTCGGTATCATCATCAACCTCCACCATTTTGTCCAAGATAAAGTTCCAGAATGGGCCGGCCGACTATGTTTCATACCTGAGGAAGGTGCAGCAGCCCGAGCAGGTCGAGGTTGGAAAGATTCACAAGCTTCGATTGCTGCTGCGCAATGAGACTGTCGCCTGGATCGAGGAGTTCCTCGAGCAGGGAGGCATGAAGGAAATTGTTGATCTTCTCAACCGGATCATGGACGTCGAGTGGAGGTAAGCGAGGGATCATCTTCACTGGACCATTGAGGGACTTGGTTTGCTAACATGTGCTTTTTTCTTTCTAGGGAGGATCACGAAGACGCTCTTCTGCATGAGAACCTGCTGTGTATCAAGGCCTTGTCTACAACTGCCAAGGCAATGCAGTATCTCGATTCGATCCACAAGGAACTATTTCCAAAACTTCTCCACTTGCTATTCGACCCCGAGAAGAAGGGCCCGAGCGAGTTCACAACTCGAAACATCATTACTTCGATCCTCTTCACGTATATCGACTCAGCTAGTCCCACAGAGCGTCTCATCAGAGCCAAGAGCGTGCTGGGTCTCCTGCGGGACCCACAGCCCAAGGATGAAGAACGCCCGCTGGCGTTTGTCCTTGAGATGAGACAAGATAGGCCATATCGGGTGTGGAATAAGGAGGTCGTTAGCGTGACCAAGGAGGTGTTCTGGATCTTTCTGCACAACCTGAACGTCGTCGCCCTCCCCTCGACGGGCAAGAAGGGATCTTCGCTGTACGATTCAGACTCGTGCGTATCTGCCCCCAGCAACGATCACTACTCCTACATGATGCGTCACTTCCCCCAGGAGCGCCCACCGGTACCCGCAGCCCCCTATGTTGGCGGTGTAGAATGGGACGCTACCAACTACCTCGCCTCCCACCTTGATCTGCTGAACGCCATTCTTGCATGTACGCCCACGGCTGGGGCCCGCAACGCCCTCAGGGGTGAGATGCGAATTTCGGGCTGGGACCGATGCATGGGTGGTAGCCTACGGCTATGCAAGGAAAAGTTCTATGGCAGCGTCCACGACGGGCTGAGGACCTGGGTCGCTGCAGCCGCGGAGGACGGCTGGGATGTCAAGGATGTGAGGTACGGCCCGCCGCCGGAGGTCAAGAGCCCGCCCAAGAAGGTTGTTGGTGGCCAGAAGCCGAAGGTGGAGTTGGCACCGAAGATCGAGATGCCAAAGTTGGACTTTGGCCTTCCACCTGCGGCAACAGCGGCTGCAGCAAAGGCTGGCACTGATGATGATGGGTGGATCTAGCTATCGAAGCCAACCTGCATGGTCAATCGTTGCAACCTTTGATTACCTAGGTGACTGACTCGAGGAGGATGGGGGTGTAATGCAGGCACCTCTTCTACTCAGCCCCATCCCTGCCTGTGTCATATCTTTGGTTCTTCTTTCTTTCCTTTGTCTCTTCCTCTTTTCTCTCTCCTGAGTCTCAAGGTCTTTCTTGTCATGTTTTTTTTATTCCAGGATAAATTGGGTTTCTTACTGTTGGAAAACTATGGATGTTAGGGGTTCTCTGCTTTCATGAAGGCACGTTAATGAATTAATGACAATAACAATTAACAAGGCCCAAACTCACTCATCATGCACGCAGTATCTGATGGCGGGTCAGGGGTAGGGTAGGATGCTCTGCCCATCCACCACCCGTCCCTGGTTTGTTTTACAAATTGCCTCTGTGTCGCTTGAAGGCCTCATAGACAGGCACACCCTTGGCAACGTCCTCCTTGGCCTTATCGTCAGCTGAAGTGAGCTTGGGGAGCAGCTCGAGGACCTGCTGCACCCTATCCCGGGGGATGACAACGACGCCGTTGACGGAATCGCACACAGCCAGGTCCCCTGGCGCAACAGCAGTGCCGTCAATGTCGAGCGGGACTTGAGTAGCCCAGGGTGTGCTTCCTCCACCGGCACCAACAGTGGACGTTCCGCGCGCCCAAACGGGTAAGCCTGTGCTCTGCAGCTCGGTGAGGTCGCGAATCCTCCCGGCGACGACTATGCCCTTGGCCCGGAGGACCTTGATCCTGAGGGCCATGATACCACCGCAGATGGCGTTGGCCTGGGATGGAGGCTGCTGGAGGACGACCAGGGTGTCGGGCTGGGTGAGGTCTGCCCAGTGGGCATCCTTGGGGATGTTGGGATCCGGGAGGTTGGAGGGGCGGGCGGCGGGAGTGGCGCTCTTTGGAGCGAACAGGACTGTTGACACGGGGGCGATAGTGACTACGGGAGGTGACGAGGAGGGGTCAGGATTGGTGTAGAGGGAGAGGTCCGGGATGAAGCCGGCGTTGGGGACCTTGAGCTTGAGGAGAGCATCGGAAACGTCGCATGCCGTGTAGTGCCGCAGGGCATTGATGGCGATGTCGTCGTTGGTGGTCATGATGGGGGGGGGGGTTGCCTGGTATGGATTCCCTCGGCCTTTCTTTTTGTGTTCTTTAATTACCACTTCAAGACATGTAGGGGAATGATTAAAAGACTAATGCAGATGATGTCAAGGGTTATAACGACGTGGGAAGGGACAAAATCTAGTGGTTCCCGAGGCCCAGATGGACGGTACAGAGGAGCCACTTGAACGGTACCGGCCGGACGGCAAACTAGGTACTAATCAGATAATCGGCTGAAACGTAGTATGCGGGATGGGACGAATGACGAAGACGAGTCGGTGAGCTGGTCGGGGTGACCGAGGATAGACGGAGGGGCCTATCGTGGACGCCGGCTGCGTGGATGGTGAGTGACGATGTACGTGCGTAAGGTTGTGTTGGTTGGGCATGAAGATGTGAGAGGCAACAAGGGTCTGGATACGTGCCATACAGATTTTAGGTGCTGCTACCCCGGCGCGTTGAGCGGAGCTACGGAAGACCCTTGCTCTAGCTTCTGGTTCTCGCTCTGGCAGACCGGCCACCACCCCTCGCTTCCTTTCCTCCCATGGCCTCTTACCTGGATCCTGGGATCTGATGCGCATGTACGTACGTAAACACGTTCCAACCAGAACGCTGTCTGCTAACCAGCTAGCCGGTTAGGCCTGCCAAGGGACTGATTAGCCTTCCAATCATCCTCTGGTAGTGTGTTTAGCCTCTGCCAGAACCATCGAACCGCATCGCAAGCGGGCGCCTTGGAGTTGGCTCCGAGCCCTGCGTGGGCTGTTTTGACCACCCTCGGACGGGATTGTCGGCCACCCGGGTCTTAAAAGCTGGTGCGTGCGCCAATGTCCAAGCCCGGCTCCCGCTGAGACAATATTTATTACTATTTATTAGTGTGCCTACCTGTAGAACCGTCATGGGGACGATGGGGACGCAGGTTTGCACACAAACCCTGGAGACAGATGGCAGAGCAGGGCCTGCTAAGCTCTTCCTGGAAAAGGGGGACGCCGTGAATGTACGCCTTCTTTTCGTGTGAGTGGGAAAAGAGGAGATATTTTACCACCACCTTCATCATACTGCCAAACAGGCACGACCAACGCGATGGGCAAACAACGCTACAGCAGCTGGCTTCTGCGGCACGGGGGCGGCTCCTAACCTATCCAACCACGGCAATGTGGAGATGGTTCGTTCGAGAAAGCAGGGAGCTCCAGAAAGGCGTAAGACCCCCTCCCCTTGGAAGGGCAGCAATTGGGTCTTCCCCGTTCAGTACTAATAAGCCTGGCTGGAGCGGGTCCGCCAGGCTCGAATCGGTGAAAGTAGAGGACTTGGAGATACAACGAGCAGAAGGTTTCGCCGAGGAGGAACGGGAGCAGCAAGGTGACTGATTGTTTGTTGGTTGGAAAGCGATTAGAATAGCTGGGGCCGAGTTTTGTCTTGTCCACACCCAGTTAAGAATTAATTTCCTTTCTTCGTGATCTCATACCCACAGGCCCTGCCCTGGGTTTCGTCGAGGGAAACGGAAAGTCGGAAACATGCTTGATCGTCGTCCTCGCCGCGTTGGAGCAGGAAGGTAAAATTATACATGCAGACCGAGGTGGATACGCATTTACAGCATCCCCGGCCATCTACCCAACGGTGACAGTACCTCCTGCTTGTCTCGAAGGAAATTTGGTGGTACTCTATTGATAAATGGCTCACTCAGCCTGTATGGAGGTTGCTGGAGGCGAATGAGTCTGGGTTGGAACCCTATGTGGGATGCAGCGCTAGGTAGGGAACCCTGATACAGCCTGATGCATAAATCACGGTGGAGTGGTGAGCGGAAACAGAAAGACTGAACGAGATGGAAATGAAGGGGGAGAACCTGGGTGATACTTGATGAGAATGGATAGAAATTAGAGACCGGCTCGCTGAACATGTATCGTATGGGCAGGTGGCCACACGCAGATATACTTGGTCCAGCTCCTGGATATCGAGTGCAGGATATTGACTGCTTATGGACCACTGCGCCGTACGAATACGCACTTGTCTCAACGTCCGGGTGCTTGGCTTCTTGCAGCAAGAGTGTGCACGCACGCATGAAGTAGTGGCCACCTCAGGCACGACATCTGCACAGTTGCCTTAGCCAAACAACGGGCGGGTTTTGTTCTCTGAGGGGGGTCAACGGTCAGCTGTGTCCCTGGTCGTTCGCGCGCGTTGCCGAGCAGATGGAATGGCCTGTGACAACGTCCATGTGGGAGGAGATGTGATGGGATTTATAGACGTGCATGTATACAGGTATGTATATAAATAAAAACAAGATAAAAATATCCCGTTGAATGGTTGAGGAGAGGCAGGTCCTGATCAAGCACAAAAGCAGCAAGTGCAGCACGCACGAATCTGGAAGCATGGAAAGAGTCGCCATTGATTGGGAGGTACGGCAGGTGCGGTGGAGTGTGGTGCACCACGTAGAAGAATACCCCGCCAAAAGCTGTCCACTACCTGGTGTTCGGCGAATAACAGCAACCGGAGGTGCCTACATGAATCGATGAACCCGGGTTTCCCTGGCCATGTCATGCTAAGAGTGCATGGGCCCTACCTGTGTAGCGGCGCTGGATGTCATGTAGGGTTCCGCCGGAGCCAGAAAATGCCTTTGATAGTCCCATGCACCCTATCGTCAGATGAGGCTATGGATACATGTAATGGAGCACGCTGCCCACGTACCTGGGAGGTACCGCCACCGACGGCTGCATGCTACACGGCCCTACAGTCTCTGCAGCAGGCTACCTCGCCCCTACTTGCCCTACCAACAACACCCGGCCAAGGTTCCAATTCCTTGACCTGCAGCCCGGAACCTAGAGCGGACTTGGGGGAGGTCCCAATCCCAAGATCGAAGCCTCAAACCGACCCCCCATCCAGTCACATCATCTTTCCCTCGACCTCCACCGAGACGCGACTCTCTCGCCACGGGTCCTCGACCATCTCCGAGCCCTCACTCGTCTAGCCGCTGCCTATCCCCATCGCCCGGCCCATCATCGTCCGGCATCACCACCCAGCAGGTCCACGAACGTTGATTCGGCGGCCGTCCCACGCCAATCGCAATAGATCCCCACCTCGCCGACGCATCATTCCCATCAGCCCAGCCACTCCCTCCTGTGACAGCCTGCCTCCTGTCCTGCTCACTGGCTTGGACGAGACACTTGTCCCAGCATCACCTAGCAAGCCCATACTATTATCCATAAACGCAACGCGCGAACCCACCCCACCACATACTCAGGACTAGGTAGGTAGGTACACACAAGGCATCTGATGTGCGCACACACAAGCACACACCTCTTCCTCTGCCACCTGCTAGCACCTTCTTTGCAAACACACGCATCAGGGACCAGATACACCCGCACCCACGCACGCACACCACGCACACACACAGACGCTCCCACTTACACACAAAGCTAGCTGCTCCTCCTAGCTGTCCTCGACTACCCGAACTTGCTCTTCACTCGTTGCTGGCTTTGCTCAGACCCCTCTCTCTGCTCTCTTCCCCCCTCCAAACCTAAACCCCCAACCTAGACCACGACCCAGAGCCCACCAAAATCCCAGGCCAAGATCTCCAGCCCAATCTGCATGTTGTTTGCGCTACCGTCCCTACCTCCCTAACAAGTTCTACAGCACCTAACCTTGCTCAGCCTTGCCTTGCTTTGCCAACCCTGCCGCCTTGGGTCAGAGACGCATCGGGGAAGTACCTGAATTCACTCCAGCCAGATCATACATTCACACTAGCCAGGGTCTTTCATAAAACCCTGTCTATGCTTCGCAATTTACAATGTCCATAAAGTAAGCCTCTCAAGCCTCCTCGTTAGTCTTGCGATCCGATCCATATTGTTTTGCCGTTTTCCTCTCTCCCTCTTCCCTCTCCTCCTCGTCTCGCCTATCCGCGGCCAGACCCCGCTGCCACACTCTCTCCCTTTCCTGTTCTGTCTTGCTAGTTCCTACCTCTCTCCACGTCCTTCACACTCGTCGCCTTCCCTCCTATTCTCTGCTTCCATTGCCAATTATCCTCCTCTCTTGGACCTCCACCTCATTTCCAGCTCGACCACCGCCCCTCACACACATCCGTCTATCTGCTCTTGCCCATGGAGTCAAAGGCCATGGAGCTTGCTGCATTATGAACAACCCACACGACTACCTCATCACGACTCCTCCCCCTGTTCGGGTTGCCAATCCTGACCATGTTGATAGCTGGGTAATGCTCAACCAAGGCGGGTTCGTCAAGCTTGGCAACGAACGTGTATTGCACAAGCTTGATTCGCGCATTTCATGCGACCTGTCCGTCCCCTCAGAACTTCGCTCGCGATGCACGGCTTTTCATAGAAAGAGCGACAAAGGAACGCTCTTTCTCACCAACAAAAGGGTTTGTCAAAATCTCACCAGGGAAAAATGAGCGACTGTTACATGGACCCAATCCGACTGACTCACGTGCTGTAGATCGTCTATCTCCCCGCAAAGCCATCACAAGTACCCAAATTTGAGTCTTTTAGCGCACCAATCCTGAAATTCCAGGACTCGACCACATCGTCATCAATGTGGTGGGGGTGGGTGTGGAAGTCAGATTGCGTCCCCGTATCAGGAGGGGGTATCCCCCCAGACATCCCGCGGGTAGAAGTTAAGTTCACATTTTCTGATGGCGGGATGATGGACTTCAATGAGACCTACATCCGGCTACGCGAGCGCCTTTTCCAGTTTCAGGAAATGCGGAATGAGATGGGTGCCGGCGCTGAAATGCCAGATGAGCCTCTGCCGGCATACGAGGCTGACGATGGTCAACTATCAGTTCCGGGAAGCTCTACAGCCACGGCGGCAGCAGCAGGACATGGACGGTCAGAGAGCACTGCCAGTCGCAGAGCACCAGACGAGCCCCCGCCAAACTATGACGAGGCACAGGCGCAGCAGCTCAGCAACCGCCTCGAGGATCATATCCGAGGGGAGGCAGATCGCGGAACCAGAGACGACTGACGAGACGCTCGGCTTGACATCTCCGCGCCCGAACCTACTACCTGCCGCGCGCAACGGGCTTCTCAAATGAAAAGCGACACCTCTCTATGATCTAGAAATTAGCAACCTCCATTTGCCTACCCCACCTCACGGCAATCTCACCAGTTGTACATTTCCCGGTTGTTCACTTGGAATATGCCACAGCACGACGAGTCACGATGTTTATTATATTTGGCGTTGGGTTTACCCTTGAGATACTATGTTATGTTCAAAGATAGTGCGGTTTACCATCAGGGTCTAGTAGATTGGACTATGAACCGCAGCATGGAGCATGAGTAAGGGTATTGTTGATATGAATTTTCCGGGATCCGTGCGCAATAAATGTATGTATCCCTAGTCATCGTTAAGCAATCGGCTTTCGGCGACTAGAGGATGCGTTTTCTGTTTTGGCTCTGGACGCTTCCCCCAATCCTTCCATTTTGTCTCCCCCCAGTAATCAGTAGGGACGGGTTAAAGTATCGACCACGTCGAATAGATTGAAGATACCTATCTAATTACACATTACTTTTTGAGAGTTCGTCGTAATGGCCTTGAACGGTGGGTAAGAGGGTATAACCAATACTGTTGATGAGTTGGCTCAGTGGCCAAACTACCTACCCAGGTGGGTGACATTGAATTCAAGTCACTCAAGTGTTATACTATATATACTGCCTACCTATTTTCGAGTCTACGATTAGTACTTTTTGCTTCATTGGGGGTTAATAATGTATATGTAACAGGCAATGCACTAGAAAATGTCAACCCATATCGGTTTATACTGCTCAAGTTTTCTGGCTATTGGCGAACGTGATCGCCCTTCAATTTGACCTCTCATTTCTTTTGTCACCCATCTGCTCCCATGCCGGCACGTGAGATATCACGTGCGTTGGCTCTCAAGGTGGGACCAATCAAAATGCCTCAATTCCGGATCAGTTTTCGTTGCCAGCGCTGGGCCGAGAGCTTCCGACCCGTGAGGATACCACGAGAATCTTCTCTTCACCGCGAACACTCACCAGCACGTCCAAGTTTCAAATCCTTCATCCGTCACAATGGGTTTGTGGGACGCATTCTCCGAAATTGTCGAGTCCGTGACTCCATGGAGCACCGTCGAGGCTGAGGCTCCTGCCCAGGAACAGGAGGTACGGATATCTCCCTCGTTTTTTTTTTAACTCATTCGTGCCATTGCAACCCTCAAGGGAAAGGTGCCATCGCGGGCTGCCTGCGATTGGAATTGATGCGAATTGGAACTGATTTATCTGATTTAGGAGGCTCCCGAGGCCGACTCTAAGGACGACGACGAAGAGGAAGAGGAAGAGGAGGAAGAGGAGGAGGAAGAAGAGGAAACCGTCGACCCCAAGGAGCAAATCGAGGAAGGTCCGTACATTTCTCAATCTTTTGTTATCGCAGCTTGCGATAGGGATATGCCACCACGGTGGAAGTCTGAGCGGGATCTTCTCTCCCGCTGGACCGAAGGGGGCCGAGGACGTCAAGTCAATGAGGATGAGACTGACACATGAGATCAATTACAGAGTGCAAGAACGCCCCCCAATGTGCTTCCGCCAAGCACCACTTCGACCACTGCGTCGAGCGAGTCCAGCAACAGGAGGAGGATGGTGGAGCCAAGGAGGACTGCGTCGAGGAGTGTACGTGCCACAACTCTCCCTTGACCCATTCGCTTTCTCCTCTCTATAACAAGCTCAAGGGTGTTCAAGAAGCTGACCATGATCAATTATAGTCTTCCACCTTGCCCACTGCGCTACTGACTGCGCTGCCCCCAAGGTGTGGGCTCGCCTCAAGTAAACGCTTGACCTACTAGATCGATAATGAATGACGCGCATGAGATATGTACGCTCCAGTGGCGGACTACCTGGCTGCTCTGCGTTCACGACTAGGGTGGGATATCCGTCCCCTGGTACGATACCGCCTGGTCATTTAGAGACCTCGCTCTCCTCGGTGGTGTGTGGTGGTTCCTGTCTGTATACTATGTTGCGACGCCCTACAAAATAGAAACTTCTGTGCCTATAATACCTTTTTTGTTTCCGTTTCCAAAGACCTGGATCTCTTGTGGAATACCTCGGGCTTTCGGCACGCTTGTCCTCTGCTGTCATTCTCGAGCCTCAATGGCTGCCCTCGCCCGGTTTGGTATTGCTTGGTGCGATGGTTAGCCAAACAAGCCTTGTGATACCCCACCTGGCCGAGTCTGTTTGCGACTATAACTATAACTAGGTAGCTGGATAGCTCTTCGGAGAAATAAGAGCATATCCCGTAGTGATAAAGGCTGTTATGGATCCATGCTCCCATGGGCCTCAATGGTTGGTGTGACAATGGAAAGAATCTACCTACGGGAAGTAAACCTTGTATGATGGCATGGGCCGGATCACCCGATCAAGCTTAATCGAGTCGATGAAGGATCGAGTATCTGATGCTACCCAATGTCGGATCAATGCCGTATAGAAGGCTCATACACGCTGGCCAGATGTATGCTTCTGGGTTGGGTGTCCTCACCCTCATGAACTAGAGTAGTATCTTGGGTTGTTGCCATAGTAGCTTGCGGACCTATGTCACGTAACGTAGCTCTGTTTAGAATCCATTGTCTCTGAGACGTGGTTCCGTGTCTCGCTCTTTCTTTCTTATATTCACCACATGCCGCAGGTTGGGCCCGTCCTCATTGGTCTAACCGAAGTCTGAACGAGACACCCGAGCTGAAAGCCCCGGCCGGGTCCATGTACACTCGCAAAGATTTCGCCAGCCAGGTCCATGCATTCGCAAAAGGCTTTTGCCAGTGGCTGAGAACTTCAGTCCGACCCACTAGGCCTAGAATCACCTCTAGTTGCGAGGTTGCGAGAGTTTGCGAGGCTATTACCTACTAAAATGACATTTGAAACACCATCTCCAAAAGTGGCTTAAGGGGAGACATTTGGGCGAGGCTAGAGGGTAATTACAGCAGAAGAGCACAGAGTATGAGGTGAGCGAGCCATTGTCCAATGCCATGTTCGCCAACAGGCCACGGAGTCCGCAGACCATGCAGATAGATGATTTATGCGCAGGCGAGTCCGAGCAGACAAAGGGGACGGGAGCGAGGTTGCTCGGAACTATACGAATCCTACGACACGTGCTGCGCGGCCGTGGCGTGGCGTGGCAAACCCATGGCGGCGGGCATGAACATCAGCACAGCGTGCGAATGAGCCCACGCGGTTGTGGTGCAATGCAGCGCGCCATCGTGGATCTTGCTTTGCTTGCAGACCCGAAGACCCAAAATCCTTCCGCTGGCCAGGCTGACCACGGCCACGGTGTCGTGTTGGTGGCAGCGAGGCTACATACATGACATCGTGCATACTACCTATGTACATACAAGCTGCAGGGTGCAGGTGAGGTTGGGTCACGCGAGTGGTCCCGTCTGGATGGAAATCTGGCGAGTTCGAGGGTACATCCCATGTCGAGACGTAGGCCTGGAGCCCTGTAAACGAATAACCTACCCAGATTTAAGATTGGCGCAGGCAGAGTCCGGGGTCGCTGAGCGAACAGAGAGCGAATAGCGGGTGCGGCCGCCAGCACATCCCTCCTGGTCCGTCCCCGTCGTAGATGGAACCACGGACAATCAGACAGATACGCCGCTGCGTTGCATTCGCTGCTGTCCCGCTGCGTGTGCCATGGCCGCGATAGGCTCGTGCGACTGCATATCATCTGTCAGAAACAGAAGTCCAACCGTCTGGCTGGCGGTTGAAGGTAACCGTTCTAGGGAAGCGAAGGCGCACCGTCTGTCCTCGGCGCCACCCTTTCGCATCGAATCCAGCATCCAGATCAATTAATCCTACCCACCCCCATTGCCTCCCCTGTCCACGATTCACACTTTCGCTTGTTTGCTCCGTCTATCTACTATCTATCATTCTTCACTCTGTTTCTGTCCATCTGTTCCTGTTCGTCCCGCTCGGGCTGCCTCTCATTTATCTCTTCGCCATTCCCGCCTCCGTCTGTCCCCTCCTGCATTTCGCATCCCCCACCTAATCAATCTCCTGCGCTTTCTCCTCGCTCCCCTTTCCCTTCTCCAGAGACGACGTTGATTTCCAGCAGCTTCCTATCGCGGCTCGTGCCAGCATTGCCGACGTCATCGCTTCGGGAGGGGAACGGCCGAGGAGGACCAGGACCACCAGTTACTCGCCATGGCCATGACCACCTCCATCACCGCATCAACGGGGGACTCCAAGGATGCCTCTGCCCACCCAGATGGCGAAGTGCCCGCTGTCCCCAAGGCCTACCTGTCGGATCTGCGTTTCTGGCGTCGCAATGGTGGAAAGAAGCGACTGCCCTCCCAGGACTTTACCCTGAGGCCAGTCTCCGGTGACGAGGAAGAGGGCGGCGGCAGTGTGGCCGATGCTGAGTCGACAGAGTATCGCGTGTACAAACGCCGGTGGTTTGGACTGGTGCAACTGACCATGATGAATATCATTGTCTCCTGGGGTGTAAGTACATACATCTCATTGCATCAAGCCCATCATCCCAGATCACCACTCTCCCCCATCCTCATATCAACACGTTCGCATACATGTATACACATAGAGGAGAACATAAACTAACCTGCCTGATACCAGTGGCTCACCTACGCACCGGTTGCGAGCCATGCTTCTGACTATTACGGAGTCTCAGAGTCGGCCATCAACTGGTTGAGCACCGCCTTCTTCCTCTCCTTCGTGGTCATCGCGCCTCTGAACATTGCCGTCCTGCACCGCAGTCTCAAGCTCTCGCTCGTCATTGCTGCCGTCCTCATCATCATTGGGAACTGGGTTCGCTATGCCGGATCCACCTCGCGCAACGGCGGCATCTTCGCTTGCGCCATGGTTGGCGAGATTCTCCTCGGCCTCGCCCAGCCCTTCATTCTTGCTGCACCTACACGGTACTCGGATCTGTGGTTCACTAACCGTGGCCGCGTCACTGCTACCGCGCTGATGAGCTTGGCAAACCCCTTGGGAGCGGCCCTTGGCCAGCTGATCAACCCTTTTTGGGTGTCAACTTCTGGTGACGTTTCTCCGATGGTTTTGTACGTTTCGATTATTGTAAGTTGGGAGTTACTCGTTTCTTCTTCACCCTTTCCCCCCTCCTCCTTTCTTCTTTGTTGTTCGAGATGGAACGGAACCTAACTTCAAGTTTCAAGTCTACCGTTTGCTGTGTGCCGGCAGTCTTCCTCCCCGCCAAGCCTCCAACTCCTGTAGGCCCAGCTTCAGAAACCCCGAAACTCAGCCTGCGTGACTCCATCCCCGCGCTCAAGTCTCTCGAGCTGTGGCTCATCCTAATCCCCTACTTCGTCTACGTCGGCTTCTTCAACTCCATCTCCACCCTGCTCAGCCAGATGATGACCCCGTACGGCTTCACCAACGACGAGGCGGGTATCGGCGGCGCCATCCTCATCGTCGTCGGCCTCGTCTCCGCGGCCGTCAGCTCCCCCATCCTCGACCGCACCAAGAAGTTCCTGCTCGGCGTCCGGATCCTGGTCCCCATGATCGCCCTGTCCTACCTCGCCTTCGTCTGGATGCCCGAGACGCGGACCATCCCGGGCCCCTACGTCGTCCTCGCCATCCTCGGCGCCGCGTCCTTCTCCCTCGTCCCCATCGCCCTCGAGTACCTCATCGAGCTCAGCCACCCCCTCAGCCCGGAGGTCACCTCCACCATCGCCTGGGCCGGCGGCCAGCTGTTCGGCGCCATCTTCGTCATCGTCAGCGACGCCCTCGTCGCCGGCGAGGACGCCTCCCCGCCCAAGAACATGAAGAACGCGCTCATCTTCGAGGCCGTCGTCGCCCTCGCCGTGGCGGCCCTGCCGCTCTGTCTCGGCCTGTTTGGGCGCGAGGACCAGGTCAGCCTCCGACGAGTCGCGTCCGACGAACGACCGCAGGCCGAGGGCGACACCGCTTAATGATTGTTTCTTTCAACTCCCAGTGGGTTTATGCGAAAATATGCAACATGGTACATACCTCTCTTCCGTATAATGATGACAATGGACATGTATATTTTTCCTTCTCTGTCGGGGGAGGAGCAGGTTTCAGGGCGTTTGTTTCCCTTTTTTGAGGAGTTAGGCATATATTCTCTTGCAAATAATTACATTGCTCGACCAGGTAGTCGGCCATCTTAATTCAAGTTTGTTATCTTAAGTCAAATTTGTTTCTCTCGCCTCGCTATAAATGCCTATGATGCTTTATCATGCTTTGCCTAATAAAAAGATTGAAGGGGGGGAAAAAGAACGACCTTGCCTCCTTTCCAAAACCGAGCAAGGAGAACTCTTTCTCTTTTTCCCCCGCTTTCATGAAATCTCCAGAACCTCCTCCCACTCCTCCCTCAGCTCCTCCAGCTGCTCCCAGACGTCCGCGCCTACCTCCTCAAACTCGGCCAGCGACTCGGCCGTCGGGTTCACGGCGTCGCGCCTCCTCCCCACGCGCCTGCGCAGCACGCCCACGACGCCCTCCTCGCCGGCGTCGGCGTCGGGGCCTTCCACTCTCCCCGTCCACCCCCAGCCCTCCACCTCGGTCTTCTTGATGAGCGACTGGAGCCTCGAGTCGGACGCGCTGCCCCATTTGACGCGGTCCGCCTCGGCGTCGTCCAGCTCCTCCTGGCCCTGGAGGGCGAGCCACGCGGCCGACCTGGCCCCGCTGTAGGGGTCCACGGTGTGCCACGGCGAGCCGAGCCAGCGGCTGACCACGATGGCCAGCCGGTACGCCCACATGAGGTACCAGGGCACGGGGAAGAAGTCGGAGGCGACGATGCCCGGGTGGGTGAGGTACATCTCGGGCTGGATCTTCTCGTCCGGGTTCTCGTCCTCGTCGAGGCTGAGGAACGACTCCTTGAAGTCCTCGACGGCGGGGAGGTTGTACGACAGCGAGATGTAGTCGGTGAGCCGCTTCGCCGACTCGTAGGGGTGCTCCCTGAGCAGGCCCTGGATGTCGTCCGGGTTGAAGACGTCGCGGGTGGCCTCGATGCTGCTCGACCAGATGATGCGGCCCGGGGGCAGGCTCCCTGATGTCTTGGGGCGGGTGAGGAGGGGGAGGAGCTTGCGCGAGAGGAGGTAGTGGCCGAAGACGCATGCGCAGAAGACCTCGCCGAGCTTGGGTTTCGCGGGCTGTGTATATAAAAGTTAGAACTGACCGCCTCGAGTGTCTCTTGCGAAGTGAGCACGTGACTGGTGGTATAACGGAAAACGTACGTAGTTGTAGATAGGGCGGCCGTTCAACAGGGCCGTGGGCTTGGGGATCTTGAACGTCGGCCACGTCACAGAGTTTATGAGCCCCTCCGTCATGATGACCCAGATGGCCATTGGGTAGTTGACACCGACCCAGGAACCGTACGCGGCGTTGCAGATGACGCTGTCCAGCCTTGGAATGCGAACATTCTGCAGCTCAGCGTCCTGGCCCTCCAAGCCGGCCGGGTTGCTCAAAGGCTCGTCGCATAACCTCTCCGCGAAGGCGTAGATGCCCTTGATGTCGCAGAGGTCGAGCTGGGGCGACAGGATATGGACCCTGGAGGCCGTGTCCTCCCAGTTGTACTTCTCGGGGCCGCCAGCCCGCGACGCCAGCGCCTTCGAGGTCCGGGCGGCCTTGTTGGCGTAGGCGCGCAGGTGCTGGATCGTTTGTGTGGACTTGGAGGCGGAGCGGGTGGTGGGGACGAGGATCAGGTGGGAGGTGAGCGACCGGGTAGCGAGGAACTCGTCGATGAGGCGCTCGCCAATGCCTAGGCCGATGCCGCTACGCAGAAGGGTGAGGGTCAGTTCCAGCGCAGTGGCTCTCTGGCACGTGGACAAACCTGTTTGCACCGGTGATGAGCACGAACAGCTGCTCGTGTGCCGGGGCGGCATCCCATGGAGCTCGGTCTGCGTCCGTCTTGGAGGCCATTCTCGACTGGTAATTGGCCAATTGGATATTGGAGAGGTAGTAAACAACCGAGAACGTATGGTGATTCGCCGGGTGAGGGAGGTGGAACAGTCTGGGGAGAGGTTACTCGTCTTCCGTCTGGTATGCCACGGTTTGGCGGTGGAGGGGGCGCATGATGAAGGGCGGGACGGAGCGGATAATCCAGGCGCGCCATCATGCGTTCTGAATATGGAAGGCAGTTATAGATCTGCATCAACGCCAAACCTTGCTTCCAAACAGGCACCTTTGAGCTCTCTTTTAGAATACAAGACTTTGCATGAGAGCCTGGCTGATGCCATCATGTCTCTACTTCATCTTATTCTAGGTATGGTGTCACCTCAAGCATGTACCCCGCCATCGGCACCGTTGCATTCACCCCAGACGAGACATCACAGTCTAAGCACATCACTGCACACGGTGGAATCAAGTTTGCGTGACAACATGTTTTGTTACATTTGCTATTTTGTTACTTCGTGCCCTGATACCGCATGCATTATAAAGCTATTTCACACCACACCATTGTTCCGCTGCAACTGCACTGATAATCTCATGAGATCGCTGAGAGTAATAAATGCCCATGACATCCATTTCCCACCCTTCATTTGCTCACCCATCTGGCTGCATCCTCATACATCATTGCCCAAAAATCGTATACATAAGTATCTTATACGCTGGCATGCCTACTCCCTAGCCTTGGTCAGGCCTTCGCGGACCGCAGCCAGGATCAGGTCCTTGGCAATCTCCACTCCATCAGTGGTGCCGATAATCTCGATAGCCTCATCCTTGGCTTGGTCTCGGGGGACTTGAATCTTGCAGTTGCTCTGCTTACGGATGGAGTTGACCTTGGATCCGTTAGGTCCAATAACATATCGGTAAGTCTTGGGGTCAGGGAGCACGAGGTAGCCGGTCGCGTCGTTCTTCTGCGCCTGCTCCAGAGCCTTCTGGATGGCCTCCTTGGCCTTGACAACATTCTCAGGTGTGCCGCGCAGGACCCAAGGGATCTCGCCGTCCTCTCCAGCGGCCGTCTTAAGGACCTTCCAGGAATGGGCATCCGCGGTCGCATCATCATCGTCGGTGATGAGAGGGAGGGCTCCACCATCCACACGGGTCGATGTGTCGGGCTTGGCAGGGAGAGGTTGCCCGGCGTGATCGACAGTTACCTGGTGGTTGTTGCGAAGCTGGCGGAAGAACTGTCCACCATTCGAGATGGCGTGGTGCACCTTACGTGGGACCTGGATGGTCTCGCCCTTTTGCGACTGAACAAGCTCCAGGATGTGGGCTTTGACAGCCTCCAGGTTCTCGGGACGGCCAGTCACCTTGACGCCGGTCTGGCCACCTCCCTGACGGGGCACATCAATCGAGACGGCGAACTTGGCCTCCAACTGACGCTTCGTGTCTCCACCACGTCCAATCAATGAGCGGTGCTGCTCGACGGGAACATCAATAACCTCCGTCACTTGGCTCTCACGTTCAGCCACAATCTCCTGGATACGCTTGAGGATGTTGGCCACAACCTCAGTTCGGCCTTCAACCTTGATCGAGTTGCCGTCAGCATCCTGCTTAGGGAACTGGATCGTGCGAGCAAGCTCGCGTCGATCATCTGAACCACCAGCCTTGACCACGATATCACGCAGGTTAGAACCTAAAAAAACGACACGTTAGTTACCATCACCCTACATGACAAGTAAGGAAGCAGTGTACATACCGCTGGCTCCAATCAGCGCCTTATGATGCTTCTTATCAACATCAATCGTTTGCACGATGGTGTCATCGAAAACAGCTCGCTTGGCTTCCAGGACCTTCTTCGCGTTTGCCACCTGAGAGGCTGTGCCCTTGACGATGATGTCTACGATGTCGGTATCACGATCAGCTGGAACGTCAATCTTAGCACCAGTGGCCTGGCGCAATTCGTCGAGCGCAGCGCCGCCTTGGCCAATGAGTGAGCCAACCTGCTTCTGCTGAACAGACACAGTGGCTGTGTGAGAGTGGTCCTCTAGGTACTTGAAGAGCGAGAAAATCTCATCACGAGCCTCATCAGCTCCCTTCTTGGGGCCACGAATGACGACTTCATCAGCAGCCTGCTGGCGGCGCGGCTTTTCAGCCTCGCTTGAAGCATCCGCGTCCTCTGTCTGGTTCTTGGCGGAGCGTGGGAAAAAGATGAGCACCTTGTATCGAGTCTGCAGGCGGTTAATTTGAGCACCCTGCGCTCCAATGAGTTCACGGTGGAACTTGGGATCGATCTTGAGGGTGTGGGTAGTCTCATCATCCAAGGTGCGGCCAAGAGCCAGGATGTGGGATCGTGCGAGCTCTGCCTTGGCCTTGGGGCCCTTGAGCTCGACCTTGCCATCCTGCACCTGGATTTCAACGTCGAAGCGGTCACGCAATTCCTTGATGTTGCTTCCACCCTTACCAATGAGGTGGTTGGCGTACTTCTGAGGGAAATCGAAGGTCAGGATGAATCCGCGTTCCTTGTCATCTTGCTTCTCTTGCTCAACAAAGGCCTCAGCCTTTGCGGCAAAAGATTTGACGGCAGACTCGGGACCGCGGAGCGTGATAGTGGTGCCGACCTTGGTAACGCGGATGGGAATCTGATCTGCCGCCCGGCTTTCCTGCTCCTTCTTGATGAATCGCCTGAGCCTCTCATGGAATTTGGCCGGGACTTCAAGGGCAACACTGATAATCTTCTCCTGCTTGTTGATCAGGTCCAGAATGTGCTTCTGAGCTTCTTCAAGGCCCTGTCTGAATGTGCGAGCTTCAGCATCAGTGGGCTTAGTTCGTGGAAGGGAATAGGGACCGTCAGCGGGGTCAGGGCCCTCGTAAACCAGAAGGACAGGGGCATCAGTCTCGCCATCCCGAGGCACAACGACGAACACACCGAAGTCCTTCTTCACCTTCGGACTCACATCGTTACGCAAGTGCTGGTGGAAGAAGGGGTCGATGGTAACTGGCTGCACTCGGGAGGGAGGGTGGCCGTTGATGATTCCAGTGATCTCCGACTGGGCGCGAATGGCATTCT